ATGAGCAAATGCAATAAAATTTTCATTAATTTTTTTTAATTAAGTATTTTGCTTTGAACAGTGTTGAAGACAGCCTGAAATAAAAATTATCAAGTTCTGGTGCCATATCATGTATATCTAGACAAGTTCTTTCCTCGCATGGATGCTTCTATAAAATTGTGAAAGTTTTTTTTTGAAATGCTACATGTATATTTTGTCAGCGGCCGATTTGATGATTTGCATCAATTTTACTTGTTAAATACATGTGTACCTGTTTATTGTTGTCTACTTTTAATCGTTTGCCGTCTGCATTGCACATTTCATTTACTGCGATGTGAAGATCAAAACCCATTCGGTTCGCCTCTAGAGCATTTCGCTCCAAGTTAAACTGGACTACAATAATATTGATACGAGTGTAGTCCAACATTTTACATACACACGATGAGGAATATTATTGATACCTGTATATTATCACATAAATGTAAACACGAAGTAAAAGGAAAATTATTAAATATAAAATACAATGTTTTTTTAATATAAATAAAATAAGGTTTATATTTTTGTCCTCTCACATGTATTCATTATACATTATAATAATAAATATGTGGACAACTGTGATGAAAGCGCTTAAAATCGCCTTGGCGTAATAATGTACCCTCTAGTTTCTAGCTAACACTTGATTGTTATCAAAAAAAGTTAACACATCATTTTTGTCAGGGACTTGAACACACTCTTTGGAATTATCACTGATCCCATTGACAATTGTACCGTAAGAACCAGCAGGGCCACATGCTGAATTCAACGCACAGACATTTTTGTTTGTAGAGAAATGATATGACATCAAATTTTTACCAAAAGAAAACGGCAAAACAACATTCCTCTTCAATAAACTGTACATATGTTCAATGGCAAAAGCCTAAAATATAAAATAACTCGCAGACAGGTTATGTATTTCGCAACCCATAAGTGTGGAAAGTATTGTCAATAATATATAATTCCTGTTCTTCACCCACTGCACAACGTTCTACTGTTTGTAAAAAAAAAAAATGAAGTCTTTGTACTGTTTTTGAACAACAATACAGTCTTTGTGCATCTCCTGGATTTGACTTTGAATTATACATTTTGTTAATTTTTCCAAGTTCCCTTTTGAAATTTTATTGTTATTTATCAAATCGATAACTTCGTTCACTTTTTCCTTTGTATCTCTCTCAACACCCTCATTCATTTTCTGCATAATCTGCACAAGCAGTGCAGAGATATAATGCTCTTGATGAAAAATAACCTGCACTACAAAGAGCCCCAATAACACATTTCTTAAATTTTTTCGTTGAAATTTTGTAAACAACTGTACCTGGTTTCTCTGAGTTTTTATCATGCAATTTGCAGCTGCATATGTATTTTGGTGGCATTTTTTCTACAATAAAATCATTTAATTTTACTACGAGTTTATATGTCAAACTATCTAGAGGATTGTATTTAGATAGTATAAGCGATAATTCGTATTTAAATTCTTACTCCAACTGCGCTCCATACAAATAACATCATTTTCGGATCTGATCATGCTCTACTTATGAACAATTTCTTAAACGAGGTGAACTATTGACAAGCAAGTTGATGAAAGAAGAATATCAACAGTCTCGTTTAAAGTCATCATTTCGTAAATTCTATGGTCGATACAATGACCTTGTCAGCAAATACAATTTATCATTGAATGAAACGCTGACTGACGTTTTTCATACCAATTGTTAGTCCATTATTTATACACTGAATTGAACAAGGATTTTTTTCCGTTATTTCCTGATTATGACAAAGAGCACACGGCGGGTGTGACCGGTCGGCAGGGGATGCTCACTCCTCCATGGCACCTGATCCCACCTCTGATATTTCGGAGGTCCGTGTTTGCTCTGCTCTTATTTTGTATACTAGTTTAATGGACGTTGAGATTGAATACTGTTCGTTATTTCCATATCCTTCTTTTAACCGTTTCGCTTCATCATTTCCTTACCACATTCAATTTCCGGGTTGCACTGCAGGCATCTTTCAAACAAGAGGTGGAAGCCGGGCAAATCTGGTGGCTTCACTTTTATCTCAGAGGACACTCAGAAACATATGGTTGTCGGCTTCATTGCACGAAATCCTTCATTAATACTGACGATTACAGGTTGTCGCAGCACTTTTATATCATGTTTTTCATATGTGAGATTCATTTACTTTCCCGCCCCCGTGACCCACACAGTTTTTTCATGCGACTACTTTTATTTCATTTTTATTTTATTAAAAACATATCAGGTAGGTAAATAAAGCTACTTCTGGTAGGTTTAAATACCTAAGTAGGTAAATCTAGCTACGTAGCTTAATGTAGTGATTGTACTGGACCTGGTGAAGTCAAATCGAAAGTACTTTTAGTGACAAATTGGGATTATGAAAAAGAAATTCTTTATATGTAATCAATAATAATGCACACTAATTAAAATGGATTTTATGATTTCTTTGACTGTCATGCCACAGGAAAACACGTAGGTATCTGAAAATACTTAACAGTTTTATTTCACGCATAATCGATCCACCCAAAATCTCAGGCGGAATAAGCTTCTTAGAAAATGGGGCTCTCAGATGCAAGAGTCCGCGGTATATGATGGAAAATAAGATGTATTTTTCTGCTTAAAGATTATTTTCTTTATGGTCATTAAAAATTTGCAGAAATGTGTCGCATTCATAACACAGCAAGACGTAAAAGAACATATTGTGCAAGTGGTGATTCTGCTCAAAATGAAGCTGAGCGACCTAATAATGAAATAGGTATTTACATTACGAATGGATCAGATTACATTAAAAATGACCTCTTTAGCTTTTTGTTTCCACAGTCATTAAAATATTTACTTGCTTAATTGTCAGATGTCTATGTAGATGGAGCAACCCTTAAGTGGGATCATCACAAACCTTTTGATGGACTATCTTATGGTGAAATTCAAAATCACTTGATCTGGAAATGAGGAAAGAAAAATCCTTGAAAAGAATGCCTTGGATGTTGCAAATCAAGTTTGTGTAAGCATTCATATAGACTTAGCAAATGACCCAGCTGGAGATTGTTATAAATTTTCTCAAGAGTTCCTTTCAACTATCACGCGGAAGATTTTTAAGTCCATTTAAACTGTGTTATAACAGTTGTGAGGTTTGTGCAATCAAGTATTGTAATTGTAAACCTCAAAAAGTAAAGGACTTGATCGTTTAATTGCCAGAGTTTTGAAAGATGCTGCCCCTATTATTAAAATTTATATTACTTTAAATTAGTATGTCAATATCAGAAGAAACTGTGCCTGATGAGGTACAATCTGCAGAAGTTAAACCCCTTCTCAAAAAAAGGTGATTGATAAAAACCTTCAAATTATAGGCCTGTAAGTATTCTAATCATTGTTTCAAAGGTAATGGAAAAAGCAGTTTACACCCTGTTAGAATATTTCCTCGCTGAAATTAATTTACTTTATTAATTCCAATCCGGATTAAGAAGCTCTTATTCTACCGGCAGTTCTTTTATTCACTTTATAGATCACTTAAAATCTAAAACAGCTAAAGGGGCAGTCAATTTTGTTTTTAAAACATCTAAGGAAATTGTTGTGGATAAGGTACATTTTCAACTTATTATATTAAAATGACTTTGAAATAGGGTTGCACTATATTTACAAATATTTGCTTTATTCTCATAAGGTATTAACAAAATACGAAAGATTTCTTATATAAATATATTTAATATAGAAAGGATATTTTGCAATCTTAAGAATTTTATAAAATGAAACAAACGTGTGAAATTAAAATTTGTTTAGGATTATTATACAAGTATAACTACCAGGTATTCAAAAGATTTTTGTCAGACATGGATGGAAGAGGACACGTTGAAAGGAACGATGGGTACAAATCAAGAAAAAGAAGTGACAGATACGGTAAAAACGTTGAAAAAAAATATAAAGTTTACATTCAAAATTTTATAACATGAAACAAACATGTGAAACTAAAATGTATTTGGGTTTGTTATACAAGTATATCGACCAAGTTTTTTTTTAACTTTAAAATTTTTTGATCAAAGATGGAAGAGGGCGTGTGGAAAGGAACGATGGGCAAGATCAAGAAAAAGAATTGACAGATACGGTAAAAACATAAAAAATGAAGTTTACATTTAGCCTTTTATAAAATGAGACAAACGTGTGAAATTAAAATATATTTGGGTTTTTTTATACAAGTATATATTACATAATTCTGATAACGCTCAATCTCGGTTTGGATAGCATTGCAAACATTGGCCTTGGTTTCACCTGTGCACACAACATCATCAAACTAATCCTCCATATCAATGAATTTTGGCTTCTTAGCTGGTGGTTCAGGTACACAAGATTCTGTCATAGGGGGGACCTCAGGCTGAATTTCCTCTGACTCGCTTGTTGACGGGAGGGATGGCAAAGGAGGCACAGAAGGCACATCATTTTCCTTTTCTTTCTTCACCCGGACCTCAGGAAGATCACCGCCCTTTTCTTCTATCATTTCATTCAGTTTCTTAAATGCCACATCTCGCATTTCATTCAAGAAGGTAAGGTCCTTCGTTCAGAATGCAAGCTACAAGAGCTATCCTTTCTGGCTCTGTTCACCCCTTTCATTTCGGATTTGCTGTTTCACTCTTTTAATGGTTGGGCTGTCATCATTTCCTTCTTCACTTGCTCGAGTTAGCTTTACTACAAGTGGTAGGATCTTGTGCAGAGTTGGAATGTTCTCACCACACACAATTGTAGTCGCTTTGTCAAACGGATCAAGTACGGTCACAAGATCTTCGACAACAGCCTGTTCATCAAATGTTAGAAGACAGTTTCTCAGGGTAGAGCTGGCTGATTTCGTTATTGTTGGATCGTTAGCCACTGCACTTACAGCTGGGATCTGCTCTAAAATTCGTTTGAGCTTGAATTCCAACGTGTAACCACATCCAAGAGAAGATCGGCCATGCTGGTGGATTGGTGAAAGAACGTCACCAGCTTCCGGATCTTTCCCAAAATTCGCACAACATCGGGAAATTTTAGGACGTTCTTAACTACTAGGTTGATGCAGTGCCCATAGCAACCAAATCTTGTCCATTCCAGCAATTCATAAGCTTTCTGTTCATTGGCAGCATTGTCAGTTACAGCTATGGGCACTGGCAATCCCCACCTTTGTTTTGTTCCATGAGTTCCTTTGAAATGTTTTCACTCGTATGACTTCCATCAGATTTAATTGTTCCTAAAACAGCATGCTTTAGCATCCACGCATCATCAATAAAGTGGACCGTTGTGGTGAAATACGACTTTGTACTGATGCTGGTCCAAGAATCGTGGGTAATAGCAACATCATCAGCCCGTTTCAGATCTTTCTCTATCTTCAACTGTATTTCTTCTTTTTTGACGTTCAGACCTTTTAGGATTGCAGCTCTGGTTGGAACCTTCTACCTGTAATATTGATTAAATGAAATTAATATGAATTATAGCCTATAAACGATACATGTAGTCATGTACACCAAATATTTTAAAACAACAATGATAAGACATGGCAACTATTTCAGCTGTACAATGACCAAGTAAATATTTCAGCTAAACACTAACAGAGGTACAACCAAGACATTGTATTTCATCTCGTGAAAAAAATACGTACATGTAGTAGCAAATACAAAAACCCTCAGCTATATAGTGATACAGTATTAGTTACATACTAAATTCCACTGATGCAACTAATATCTTAGCTAACTTGTAACTAATTCAAGCTTCTTTTTCTGGTCCGTTATAAAAAAAAAATAAGAGAAATATTATCATATTTACCTGGCATCAAGTAGATGGACAAATTCCCTGAAGAAATTATTCTCCACTAAACTAACAGGCAGAACTTTGCCAAGAATGAGTTTATACAGAGCAATGTCTATCTTGTGTTGCTGTTGTTCTGACATTTTTCCCAACTTGGATGGACCGCTAGGACCAGCATTTACAAAGTATGTCAGTGAAGTCTGTTTCGTTGCTTTAGCACTAGCTGCGTTACTCGATTCGGACGACTCTAATTCATCTCCATGTTCCGTTTTAATATGAGCCATGAAGTTGGACGTGTTCCCTGAATAGAAAGAGCAAGGTCATAATATTGTGGAACTTGGAAGGCAGTAAAATTTTAGCTTCCAAGTAAAGACTTTTCAGCGTTTTCTTTTAATTTAAATGTAAAAAAAATTGCCAACTGGCAGGTTCACAGCTAATACACATATATGTATTGTTTATGATAGTATCTTTAATAGCTTTTGATACATTTTCTATATATCACTGCTATCAATGGTACTGGTCCTCCAGTACTTATTGGACACCAGCAGTTATTGGACACAATATAAATGTATGGGGTTTTGTTATTCGCTGATTGAAGTGTTGTTCTCAAGGGGGAAAGGGGCATGGTAGTCACTTGCAAAATACAAAGAAAGAAATTGACATTACCTAGGATATTGATAGTAGTGTTTGGAAATCAATTTTTAACCTCTCAAATGTCATCTTTTTTCCTGTAAAAATCAGGTGTCCGATAATTACAGGTCCGCTCTTCAAAATTTGAATGAATTTCGGTACGTTTTCTGGTGATCTTTAAACATTTTTTTAAGCAAAAATCATAAAATATTTTAATATATTTGTTTTGCTCTTGAGTTAACCTCTGGCGAAATGTAATTTTTCAAATTTAATTGTACAACACTGCTTAGAAATTCTGAAAAACGCACGATTTCTGTCCGATAATTACTGGAGGACCAAGGTAAAGCGTTTTCCCAAACTTCTTACCAAGGACGACAGAAATAGTACCTTTATTGGCGTACGTACGCCTGCACAGCCTGCAAACGGCTCTAGCCATATCCAAATTTTGTTTTGTCGGTGGACCGGCTGCCCTCCTGTAAAATCCGAAATACTTCCATACCTCCGACTTCGATTTATTGCCGGGGTATGGAAGTATTTCTCGCTGGTCCGAGTGGTCGTCGTTGTCACAGGGCGCCGCCATCTTTGCGTCTATTCGTGTCAACAACAGTTCGTTCTTGGAAAACTCGTACGTTTAGTCGTTTATGGGTTTTACCCAATCTCGGGTTTTACCGATTAATCGAAATTTCGATCCGATTAATCGAAATCGGTAGGGTTTCAGCGATAGATTCGACGACGTCGGCGATAATCGAAACACCACTAGCAATAGGTCACCTAAGTTTACTCAGGTGACCTAAAAAGTCATACCTTCAACTTTGCAAGAAAACTTAAGAAAGTTGCAGTTAATTTTTTTGTTTATTATTTTTGCGGAAAATGAGCTGAAGTATCTCTTTAAGACATATTTCTAAAGGAAGATATCTTTTACATATAATAACTTAAAGATAATAAAACACGTACCTTAAGGTAGATCGCGGGTTTACTGTCTGCCTGAAAACATACTCTGAAAATTTGTCTGCTAAATCCTCTCGTTTCGAATTTTCCTATCTTAAAGTTTTTTTGAGATTCATGTGCGTGGTTATATTGCTATCGTATTTCAAAGGCACTAATATTGATGAGAACAGGTGACGCTATTACAATGAAATATATAGTAAAATGCGCCTTTCTTGCCGTAAACGCATTTTAAAACCATGCTCATAGTATGAAAACGGCGCAGACGAATTTTATATTACTCAACACGATGAATGTGAGATAAATTTAGAATCGATCTATCAAAAAAAATTAATATGTGTTCTCGCTCATTTTCTCTCAAAAAAAACTTACAAGTTTTACAAATTTGTAACAAACGTATATATTTTCATTAAGACGTTATATAACGTTATTACGACGTCATTATTTTTGTACGTCTCAGAATCACATTGTAATCAACAATTCACACCAAAAAACATGTATAATCCGTATTTCCAATTTTTTATCGATTGACCTTGTCATAATCCATTAACCTTAATTGTCACACTTTTTTCAATGGAACAGAGTCATGGTATTTGTTTTCTTGACAAAATCAAGCAGTGCTGAAAAGTTAAAACAAATCTTCAAATATATGAGCACAAAAACTTCTAATCGGATTTAAGAGCATTTGTAAACCTTTTTTACATATTTGTTATCTTAAGTTAAATGTGCCATGGTTTTAAATCAAAATGTTACAATTAATAAAATAAAAATATACTGTAGATCAGTAAATTAATTTTCGCGAGCACATCATCTGCACAATGAAGTTCTCATCAAAAATAAAAAATTATTTACAGTGTATGAATCTCAACCTGCATTAATGAAGAAACGTACATGTAGACAATCATACTTCATAAAATGAAATTATTTTGTCTATAACTGTATTTACAGACTTTAGTTTTCCCTTCAACACTTCGTAAAGTCCATCTCTTCCGCCTCTCTGAAGCGCCAATTTCAAATGATTCCCCTGAAAGCCATTACCTGCCAAAGTAGAACTTTGCCCCTTTGTAAGCACCTTTGCAGTTATCATTTCATGAAAACTTCCTATGTTTTTGTTCTTATTTGATAGCTTTTCGTTGTTCGCGATGACATAATCGGTAGAGAAGATTGACTCAGAGAGTGAGTCCTTCGCTTTTGCAGTTTTTTTCAGCAAGATTTTCAACGCAGAAACATCATTTTTAGCATTATGTGCATTTGCAGAATCAATTAAATTCTGGAGCTAACGATTTAGCCAAGTCTTGAAGTTTATATGATGGTTGATTCGGGTGTACTTTCTTGAAAAATTTCACTGTGTCGGAGAAACCAACGACACTTTTTTACATATCAGGCAGACCATGTCTGGTAAAGCAGGACACTAAGATACGCGCATCAAATTGTGCATTATGTGCCACAATTAAGGGGGATGGGAAGCTTTTTATAACCTATCCATAAACGACATTCTCTTGAATATATTTATAGACGAAAGTTTTGCATAGAAATAAAACCAAATAGTATAGATATTGTCTGAATATACATGTATATCTATATAATTTAATTTTTTTTATACCTCTCTGAACACAAAATCTCGGCTTGTATAGCAGAATTACAAGATTGTTCTGCTATGTCCTCTATGATATGGCCGACCTCCCTCTCTCGTTCTTTTAGTGTATTGTAATAAATCGTAGGGAGATTGAGTTCTGCCAATATATCATTGACCTGTTGTTCACCTATACCAGCGTTAATCATAACTATAATTAAAAAAAAGAAACTTAATTGAATTTCAATTTTCCAACCTCATTTTTAGTTTCTGCAAATGAACTGCTCTGGGGCTGAACTGAAGCCTGCAGGGGTTCTAGGGCAAGGCCCAGGTGGGGGTCCGGGGGCTGACAGACTTTTAGAAATAAGAAATATTTTCATTTCTTTTAGGATAACGAACATATAAGTTTAACATACAAAAAATTAAAACGGGATTGGGGTGGGGGGTCTGGTTCCTCCTTTGGCATGTACGTTTTTAGAACTCGTGGCCAATCGTATAAAGAACAATAGAATCAAAGCCCAACTAGTATTAAAAAAGAATCAAACTCCTTCACAATCCTTCATAATCCATTGAGAAATTTTGTAAAGATTTTATAAGTAGGTTGTCATTATGTTTGTCTTTCAGCTAAGACACGTGTGGCCTCCGACTAAATCAAGTACTTTAGAGGCGGATCTAGAAATGTCAGCTCAAGAGGGTGCAACTCTTGCCTTGAACCCAATTCTTTCCACATCTGCGCTTTAAAATAAAACCTAAGGCGAATCCCTTTTCGATATCAGGAATAAAAGGGTTGGGGATATAGATGATAATATACTGAAGTGAACTTCATGTTTTCTTTGTGTGTGTGTGTGGGGGGGGGGGGGGGGGATTCGTCGATTGTTTCACGTAGTTAAAAACAATCTCACTTAAAAACTATATTGATGAAGGTATCTCTTGATGAAAATCATTATATGATTAATCGCATCAGCAATAGTGCTGCTATTATAAATATCAAATTTCCAAACACATGTACATGTATTTACAGATTCTGACGTGCATTTCAACACGATACTGAATAGTATGTGTAAAACTGATTTTGAGATGTATTCTTATGATTAATATGTATATTACTAGTATCTTATAATAGCATGAAATGAAATTGGGGGCATGTGTCTGACACAGCGGCGCTGAATCTGTCTTTGTATTATATCAACATCATGGAATCTAAGAGGAGGTCACATGTAGATATCTGTAAAATTAGCTGTGATCCAAATATCGCCAACACACGATTTCTGGGAAGGGGGGGGGGTAATTAGGGTGTTTTCGTTATTATTTTGGGAATTTTTAACAATTTTAAAGTGAAATTAACTTGAATCAAGTAACATACTAGTAAAACACAAACCTGCTGCTAGTTTGGTGTTGATGTTAAAACAACGGGCTGGTCCATTTGTATTGTGACGCTTTCCCGTGGGCACCGAATTTGTATTGCTGCATTTCAGACAATTAATGTACAGTATATCCGGATGCCAGTCCATATTTTTTTTCACCGGTACACGAAGAAAGATGTAGAGGTTCTTTGCAAAAAACACACTCTTTCAAATCTTCCACTAGTAGATTCAGTTCAACAACTCGCCTCCCTGACTCCCATGAATTTACATCTGAGCAGGTTTTTAAACATCCGGGGGCTTCTTCCGTCATTTTTTCTGTGTGAGAATTAGTTTTAAATACCAAGTTCTTCAAACTCGCTATCATTTTCTCGGATGCAAACCTCCCCCTTATATTTCATTGCGAATATTTCATTCTCTGACAGTTTCATGATAGTGACGTAACTTTCTTTTTAATAAAATGACGTATTAATTTTTTAAATTCCGCCAAAATAAATCAAATGAGATTATATCTATGTACAAAGAATGCTGAGTAATATTGCATTACTTTGAAAATTAGGCCTAAATAAATTTAAACTTTTCATATTACAACTTTATGTAAACTTCTTAATTTAATTTAGTATTGATTAGTTATTGGTCAATCCTTTATTTTTATTACACATAAATAAATATTTTACAGACAATACAAGCTTTAATGTTTGTTTAATTTTATACTGCAGACAGGTGAAAATATTTTTTGCTTGTTTGTAGTTTGACTCTGCAAACATAGTAAGCTTTTTACGTCGAATCCTATTGTGACGTCAGCAAAGCCGCGATCTACCTTAATAGTATGAAATGAAGACACTGATTTCTTCAAGTCTCACTGTACACGCTCCTCTATGTGATAAGTATATCTTTTGGACCTCAGATGTCCCTTACCTCGGTTATATATGTATGTGCCCCCAGATGGTTTGACCTCGGACTGTTTAGAGAGTGTTTTGCCTTCAAATGTTTATGACCTTGTTTACCCATGATCTTTTCTGTCCTTGGGTTGATTTCTTCCTTCTGTGACCTTGTACTTGGTCGCAATATAGGTCAGGATCCTCTGTCATTGATTTTGACCTTGATTTATTTGGATGATTATCCCTCAGACTGTTTTGACCTTACACGGGGTTGGCCTCAGATGTTTGTTGCAAGTGCCCCAAGACTGTTTTGACCTCAAACGGGTTTGAACTCAGAGAGTTGTGACCTTGTATTTAATTTGACCTAGCACCCTTGATTTGACCTACTTTCTTGACCTTGACCTATATCAATGACGTCATTGCCCTCAGAGACTACAGACTATACCCCTCACTACTTGCAAATTTGGCCTTTGATCGGGACTTACGGCCTTTGAGCAGGGAGAGTTTCCTCTTGATCACTAAAAACACATCCAATCTTTTAATATTAATGAGCTCTTAACTAAGTAAAAATCCTGAGACTGAAAGTGAATACATACATATGGTTCGCTGATTATAAAAATTACTGCAATCAAAAAATTTTACATACATTTTCCTCAGCATATCAAATGTTATTGGCTCTTTGTTTTATACTGGCTTCGATAAAAAAAAGAACGTTTAGATCCCTCTAACATGTTAATCACAAATCGGTCATTAGTTGGGGACGGACACCCAGCAATTACATGCGCCCATTTGATTGTGTAATGTGTGCAATAAGTGAAATAACAGGAGCAGGAGATTTAGGTTGCTGTAATAAACAGGCTAAATAAATCGAAATGTGAAAAACCGATGAAGGAAAAAATTAATTTTCTTGAATTCTTTGTGAAATAGC